CTGTCCTGATAAGAACCAGCGGTGGAAGAACACGAGGAATGCGCAGTTCAGACACACACGCCATTACCCTGGTCACGACCTCGACAGAAGGCAGTCCTCCCCAAAAAAATAAGGGTTGCGTTGGTCTTCGAGAAAAACAAACATTGCGGTGTGCAAGCCTCATTCTGTTCGAACTGTGCAGAAGCTCAGTTTTATCCAAATAAAGTCTGAGGCCAATACGTCTTAAAAACAGCAGTAACTTGCATTTTAATTCCGGATCATGCGTCCTGTTTCCTGTTAACGAAGAGTGAAACTAAAGGGCGTAGAAGCTTTCTCCCTTCACAAACCTGTACATCTGAAAAATTGTAATAATGGTTTCATCAAGTTATTTCAGGATGTGCTGTGCTCCAACGTACTATTTGTCCACCCATACATTTATGAATATTTTACAAAAAATGCTATTTTTTGCATTCAATGCATTTGTTGGAATTGTTTTCATTAGCTTAATTATTTGTACCTTCAAACAGGGGCGTCGCCAGCAATTGATTTTTGGGTGGGCCTGTGCAAAAGTGGGTGGCCTGGGCCCCGTCCTGCCAGCATAGGGGCACCCCTCTAATTTATAATAAAATTCTCGAGCGGTATAATCAAACAGCAGAATTAGCGGAACCTTATATATGCACTGTCTCTCTCTCACACACAGGTAAAGCAACAATTGCATAAGCTGCCGAGCGCTACTGTGTTTTACAATTACTCTGAAGTTAATATTTTATTGCAAAACGCAAGATTCAAAATCCGTCCGAAATATTGTATTTAAAATACCATGCAAGGTTCTCCTTGAGCTCCGTGAAGTTGCCCCCCTCCACTACAGACAGCACAAACGATGAAACCCACCTCGTTCGTTAGTGCTAGTAGCGTTTGTGGTGCTTTCGTCTCCGAGATATAGCGCCTTGATTTTTCGGGTTCGTGACGTCACTCAGCCCTAACCCAGGGTTAGGTGTTTTAGGTGTTTTCTTTTAATTTTTAACCATGTTCTCAAAAACGTATTTCTTGTATACTCCTTTCACTGGTGAAGAGACACCAATTTCCAAATTACCGCTGGTACAAACTTGAGAGCCCATATTCACATTTTAGGTATTAGTTTCAAGATCGATATAATTTAACAACAAAAAACAAAATTAAAAGCACGATCATAATACTATAATGATCATAGACTTTACATTTCAATTCATTTTTGAAGTACAAAGCAGAAGATGTTTCCCCTACCTTAAATATACAATTAAAATTGTTCAAATACCATGTATTCATTACAGAAAGCAGCGGAGACAGTTATATTACAAATAAAAAATGTAGTTATTTTGAAGAGTACGGGACATTGTGAATCAATAAAGACGTTAAAAAAAGCCGATTAAGTTTTTTTGGCAAATAAGTAAAACATTCTAAAAATAGATTATCATTGACAATAAACTAGCCGATCCAGCAGGCGCTGCTAGCCTGAACAGCTCTCAGCCCCGTGATTGGCTAAACCCCCGAACAGTCCGGGCCGCGATTGGGTGAAGAGTGAGAATCGACACTCTGATTGGGTAAAGCGCCATAGCAGAAGTTCTGTGTGTACCGTGTGTGCTGTATGATCAATCGCACTGAGGTAAAAACTGAATAGCAGACACAGAATGTCATGGCATCCACAGGGCATTCACGACTCCAATAGCATTTAACGATAGGAATGCGCACAACACGATCACATCGCGATACCCATTGCGACTGGCGCATCACTTTCTTGGCTTGGCGCCACTGTCACGACATTAAGTCTACATATCGCGATATTACATGCCCCAACAAAACGCCACCGCCCCCATCTCGCGACATGGAGCCCGTATATCGCGATATGCCGCACCCGCGACAAAACGCCCATCCTCATGTCGCGACATAAAGACTGTATATCGCGATATGACGTATCCCGGCAAAAGTGCACCACCCCCATGTCGTGATATGAAAGCCCTTATATCACGATATGACAATGCCCAGCCAAAAATGCCCAGCCCCATGTCGCGACATGGAGTCTATATATCGTGATATGACTAAAACTGTCAAGCCCACGTCTGGACAGGAAGCCCATATATCGCAATATGACATACCCCGACAAAACGCCCCACCCCCATGTCGTGACATGGTCCACACACCGTGACACGTCTGGGTATATCATGTCCTGATATGAGACCTTTGTTGCGACAGCGGTGCCAGGGAGGCATGGAAGCAAGGCACCAGTCATGATATACACTGCTGCGATATATATGTGATATTCATGGGGTCCCTATCATGACATGCTGTGGAGGTCTTGTCGCGATGGTACCCTACAGTTATGCGTTTGGCAACAGAGTGTCACCATAGGGAAAGAAAGGAAAACGTGCCTTAGAAAATAAAAACCATAGATCTTACAACCACGGTGATTGTACATACATTACAACCAAATGTATTAATATTTTACAAAAATACTTTATTTTTGCATTAAATGCATTTGTTGTAGTTTTTTTTTCATTACCTTAATTATTTGTACCTTTAAACAGGGGCGTAGCCAGGAATTTATTTGTGGGTGGGCCTGTGCAAAAGTGGGTGACCAGACGCAGGCGCCGAGGCTTGGAATTGAATATGGCGATAATCTCGTCTGCGAAGGTATTAAAATATTAAATTCAGAAGATTTTGTATGATTCTTCATGATGCTTTTAAACTTGTATGAAACCCACGAAATTAGTATTCTATTTTTGATGCCAAAAGACATAATTTGGAAATTCCCACTGACTTAACACTGAAATGTTATAGTCGAATTACAGTTCTAACAATTTCATCGTACCTTTAATTGCAAGAATGGTCTGCTAAAAGCGTCAAATACATATTTTGGATGTATTTTAGCTCTGTAAACGTTGTTCACTTAAAAATACTGCAGGGCATTTAGAGGCAATCTGAAAATGCATCCTGGCACACTCGCTTCTCTCTGTCAATATTATCTTAATGCTATTCATGCTTTCCAAAACTTGTAATTTGTTTACAGGAGAAATTGCAGAACCTCTTCGTGCTGAACTCCTACAGGTCGAGCATGTATCGAGCTGCTACAAGCAAACGCGTGTGCACTGCCCCTTGCGGTCCAGAAACACTTGTATTCGGGAAGCCAGGCTGTACTCCTTAAAACCCAAGATGCCTGTAGCAACGCATGTGTCTTATTTACTTATATTTACATAAATATTTACATAATTTTCTTATTGGTCACAAAAGATACAGCGAGCCAATACCAAATCCAAATACGATGAAAAAAAAAATCAAACACGTAACATTAAAAAGCAAATCATGTAACGCAAACAAGGGGGAAAAAAATCTTAAATTACTTTGGACTGATTGGGTGAGCCTAGGATCAGTCCGTGTCCAGCCGTGGCTACGCCCCCTGCCTTCAAATAGGATCTTCCCAAGGAGTCTTACTAGTTGTTATTAACACCCTCGCCTGAAGGTGTCAGCAAGGAAGAGGTTTCGTCTTCTCTTTCAAAAGTATTTCAAAATAGGTTTTATGTTTTGAGTATATTACAATACCGTACTGTATAAAAAACTGTTGTGCAAACATGTGAGGCAATTTTTATTGTTCTACAATTACAATTTCGTATTTTCCCCACTTTATGCAAACCATTGTTTCTACAGGAACAAGTAATAGGTTTATTCCATGCAGAAATAAAAAAGAAAAAACACAACGTTGTGTTTTCTTTCTTCTGTTTTTCAGCATGGATTAATGCTTTAATGTATTTATATTGCAACTTCAAGACCTGTGCTTCAGTCCAAAAAATATATGTATTTAGTCACATAAGGACATTAAAAACGTTTTTTTTCAGAATGTGTTATTTTATATTTCTGATCGATTATTAACTGCATGTAATTACAGATCATATTACAAGTTTAGATATCTAAACTTGTAACAGGATACTGCAGGATAAATGCTGGAGAAAAATGATGTTCAGATTGACAAAAGAAGTCCTCACAGTGCATTCGACAACTCTCAATTCTTTCAGGTTTCATTATAGTATAGACAATAGGTAATGTTTTGGTTCTGTAACCGAAAACTTCTCAGGTTAGTTTTATTTTATTCTGTATTTATGAAAGTCCAGCATTTTGTACGGACACAACTTTAGCTACCCGCATGATGAGATCAAGAATGTTGCTGTAAGAAAGGTCTGCACTGTGCCCAGTGCTTACAGGCTGACACACAACTGTGGGAGAAGATTCTGGACACACAGAAGAGCACTCCTGCTTGTTTCTCTGTTACAACGGAAAGGCAGGAAATAAATACTCGAGGGCTGAGTTTACCGGACACTGCAGGGCTTGTAAAAGAGCGTCTCGTCACTGTCAGTTGTCTTTTCCTCCTTTTATTTTGAATGAGCTGCTTCATTGTCTGGCCACACAGAGCCTTGTTGATTGGAATGTAGAGCCTCAGGCTTTTTCCATGAGTCCTCAGCTGAGGAGGAGAGAGAGAGGACAGAGACACATGTTGGTCAAGTGTCTGGCCGGCAGCCAGGAGGCACTTCTCAGGATATATTTGCAGCCCCCTGTTTGCCGCGAGGCCACGAACACATTCAGAAACCTTATAAAACAGGCTCTTTAACGCAGCAGAGGTGGTGACGCACAGGCATTGAATTTCAAAGGCATTCTTTCACAGCCGCATGTGATTTGCAACAGAATTTTTTTAAAGACGGAATAGTTTTAAGATAAGGTGGCACAGTGGTTAGCAGAGTACCTCACAGTACTAGGTCGCTGGGTTTAGACCTGGGGTGCTGTCTGTGTGGAGTTTGTACGTTCTCCCCATGATCACATGGGTTAAAGACTTACTGGCAGGTTACTTGGCTTCTGGGA